GAGAGAGAGAGATTTGCTGTTCCACTTATTGATGCATGCGTTGGCTGCTGCTTGTATGTGCCCTGACTGGAGTTCAAACCTGTGACCTGGGTGTATCTGGACGATGCTCTAACCAACTGAGCCACCCAGCCAGGGCCACCTTCCACACATTTAACTCAGAAAACACATAGGTAAATCTTAATTTTCTGATTTTTCATTCTTAATAATTTTTTATAACAAAGATATAGCTAGTCCTACATCTTATACACCCTAATAAGTTAACTGTGTTAATTCAAATCCAGAGGGTTTTTTGTTCATTTTTTAGTTTGATTGTTCTAATAAATTGCTTACCATTTTCTAGAGAGTTCCCTGTTTTGATGAAATACTTTCTTTTGTCCTCAGGCCAATTTTGTCTTTCCTGTAAGTGCTTTGTTATATTCAAGTAGGCTTCATCAAGACTCATGGCCATAAAATTGGGATCATAATCAGCAAGTATTTCCTTAACCTTCAAAAGGAACAAGATGGTTTAAATTTTGCTGCTAAAGCAAAATCTGTCACATACAGCTGATAAGAAAAATTAATATTCTTACTTTGCAACTATAGTAACAATCCTGCAATCAATAGCTCATGGATTTAGGGACTAAATAATTTATCACCAGGGCAAATTTGTCCAAATTGTCTTTCTTATTAAAATAGATCATGAAGGCAGAAGACCATTAAATAGCTTTATTTGATACAATCTCTACTTAGCCATCCGTATCTAGAAATAGTGATTCAAATAAATCTCAGACAACATCATTCTGGTAGGCACAGAAAAAATGGTTAAACAATGGAACTTTAAGTAGCTGATCAAAAGTAAAAGTGGGAACAATAGAATCCTCCTCCTCCTCACCTTTTATGATGGTTTTTGTACATTTTTAAAAGGATAATCTTACATAGAGGTACTATGTTGCTTTAGATGAACTATAACATGCAAATAAAACTCCACTCAATACACACATTAATGCATGTATCCATTCAAGAAAACAAAGCTCAAGTATCAGGATTTATAATGGAAAAAGTGACAAAGTCTGTAGTGTCTGTGACCATAATCAATGATGGAGAATAGTGTGGAGTTGCCTCTTGGGATGAAAGAAATACATAAAGAGATTAGAATCTCTGTATGAGTCCAGAAATGCCTTTTATATAAGACAGTTTTAGTATATGGAATAAAATTTTTTTAACCATTGAAGTAATAGCTGAAACTAGAGGAAATGGTTGCCAAAATAATATGTCAGAAAAACATACTTGCTAAATTATGATTCCACTTAGTATTTAAAAGCTGTCTGCTGCATCATGAGAAAGCCTTTCTTGATGACTTATAAAAAGAAAGCTTTTTAGCTTAATGTAATTATGAACAGCTGAGTAAAAGGTAATTTTAGAAAATAGTGACATAAAACTTGGCCAAGTTTTGCTCAGAGTACCTTAATTAGCTCTGTTCTTGTAGAAGAAACCATTTTTTTGGATGTACTCAAAAAGAATCTTCCTAGTGAAAATGATACTCTGGAAAGTCTGTAGTTGGCAGCCAACTAAGATTATTCCAAATGAGAAGTACTCCCTAGAGGCACTGAGTACTCACTAACTTCCTTTACATAGGATGCTGCTGTAAGAACAAGAATAGGCATGTTCCAGTAAAAATCAAGTACTTAGGCTATGAGAACAGTTAAAGCTATCCATTCTTTTGGATAAAACGAAAATGGCTTTTCTATAAACTTTTAAACCAAGCCAAAATTATTAATGCACTTGTAGTCAGTGAATTTATGCTATAGTTCATTTATACATTAAAACCCATTTATTATCTGCAAATAAAGTAGCTAGATCCTGCTCAAATTTGAAGAAAGATTTCTCCAACTTATGTAAACAACTAGACTGAAGATAACTGAAAACAAGTTAGTCCTCATTGTCATACTGTCCCAAGTTTTACTGAATTAAAGCAGGACTTAAAACATTCTTTCTTACAAAGTCTCTGAAGGATTTTCAAACTTATTAAAAGCTAATCAAAATAAGTGAATTCTGTTACTGTTTTAAAACATTGATAAAAAAATTATTCAGAAAAGAGGTTGAAATTAATGACTTAAGTAGATTCTGTAAATTATAAATATCGGGCGATTCCAGAAGAAATGTATAGTGCACATTAAGAAAAAAAAGCTAAAGTTAATTTAGGTTATTATTAAGACAATTCAAAGTCTTCTGGGGAGACGGTTTCCTAAGCAGATAAAAAAACATGGTAAAAGCAAAGAACTGGGAAATAGAAGGGTGTATTCTGGATATCATATGCAGCTAGGATATCATATTCAATACACCGGCTGAAGAAGTGGTAGGAGGTGAGACTAAAGGGATAAACTAAAGCCAAATTCTGATGTGTGAAGGCATGTGGACTTGACTTGGTAGGTGACAGGAAATCAGTGAAAGGCTATGTATAAGTAGGGGTGAGACATCAGACTTACCTCTTTACTCACAGCTTGGTATTTGTCAAAGTTTGGAGGCACTATAATAAGTTGTGGGCAGAGCCTTTTAGCAATAAATCCTGGCATGGCTGCACGAACTCCAAACCTCCTTGCATGGTAATTTGAAGTACTCTGAAAGAAAATGGGCCGCAAGGGAAAAACTATTCAAACCTAAATGAACATATTGATCGATGCATTCAAAAGAAACACATTACTGATGTGCATTTTCAATTCAAGGACATTCTTTTTTTTTTAATTCTCACCAAAGGATATGTTTATTGATTTTAGAGAAAGAGGAAGAGAGAAGGAGGGAGAGA